GGTCTCGGGGATTTCCTGAAGTGGCGGGGGGGGGGGGGAGCGGGCTGTCCCTCCCCGTGGCGGTGCCGCAGCGCCGGGGTTTGCCCGAAAGGGGCTGGAAAGGGGGGTGGTGGGGAGGGAGCTCGCCCGGGGTTAGCAAACGGGCAGCAGCAGCAGGCTGGGGGACCCCTCTGACCTGAAAATATTTATAGCGGGGAGCTCGAACACGAAGAGGAGGAGAGAAGACGTATGCTCATCTTGCTCTTCCCTCTGCATCTGCTTACGGCCTCCCTTCTTCCATTTTTAGCGGTTGTTACACCGCATTCAGGAGATTTAGTCTGGCTTTTCAGTTATTTGCGTTTGCTGTTCTCCTTGCCAATCTGGCAAAGAGATTTTTTTTTTAATTTTTTTTTTTTTTTTTTACAGCTTCTCTCCAACTTCATCCTAGTGATCCTTGCCTTGCCAGGGATCCCGTGTGGTCAGTTGTGCCACTGGTCTTTTCGTGGCAAACACAGCACACACCACTATTTTTGTGATTTGGACTATGTTGCCACTGTGCTGGCCTTGACCAACCTGGATTACTCCATCCTACAGCGGGCTTTGTATTTCTGCCGCAGCCTCTCAGGAAGAGGGAGGGATGTTATCTTTCTGCAAATGTGAGAAGGTCATAAGTGAATTGAACTTCCAGTTTTGGTTCACAGAATTAGGGAGCTAGAGGATCCCTTGCTTCAGCCAGTTTTTCAGTGCAAAATGCATGTATTCAGATCAGGTAGTATAACTCATAGGCCTGCATGTAACTTCTAAAAAGTCCTTTGATGCTAGGATAAAGCAAAGCTTTTGGTAATGCATGGTCCTTCTGCAGGTGGTACCATCGCATCTGGAAAGGCTGTGGGCAGAGAGCAGGAGTTTTCTGCTTCTTCTAGAGAAGCTTCATGGTTTTCTACGCTTCCACACAGTGGCACATGCATGAAATATTGTGCTTTGGAGGAAATCTGCCTTTTCTGCCCCTTAGGCTGCGGCCATGAGTCACCACTGAGCACCCCGTATGATGCGGCAGGCTCTGTAGTCACACACTTCAACCCCGACTGGGGCTCAGAAGCTTGACGGGAGCGTAAAGGCATCTAGTACAGGCCTGAAGGACTGAACTGTAGATCGCTTATCTTCTGACTTGATAGGATGCTCTTTACCTGGCCTGCCAATAACACTGTGCACTTACACCTCAGGCTGGTGGTCATGCTCGGGCTACTGTAGCCCCAGACCCAGGAAGAAAACTGTGAGGCATAACCATGGTGTTTGTTTTGTTTCAGGTGCTGCCGGAGTGCTGGTAGGACACCCATTTGACACTGTTAAGGTGGGTTGATTATGAAATACCTTTGTCTCTACGTAGAGGACTTGAAAGTTTTTCCAAGAAGTGGGTGAGGAAAAAAATCCCCAGGCACTGTAGGAGCATAAATCTGTGCTGGAAAGCTTGGAGCGAGCCTCCTCAACCACTCGTTATAGATTTGCAGTCTCCAGCTCTTCAGAAGTGAAAAAATTCTTTGTATGTGTCATTCAACCCAGTAACATGACAAACATTGGCCTGAACTACAAGTTCATCAGTGCAGTAACAATGTTGTATTTGAAAATACAATCTTACCTTTAACTTAATTTTGTTCTAAGCTTGCTTTCTCTGCAGCTGTTCATCACTAACTGCTCAAACTGCCTCTCCCTGCGTTTGTAACTCAAACCAACTTCGTTACTAGGTTGAAATCTCTGTTGTTTCCCCTTCAAGCTCTGCTACTTTCTCCTCAAGCATTAATTTGTTACACTAGCCACAGGGTGTAAGTGGATAAAAATCCACAGCATGAAGCTTGCCTGGGGGCTTTTTCCTCCCTTTAAGTATGACTATATATTTTTATAACTTTCCAAGTTAAGATTGATTTTCTAATGGTCTGTTAGCTGTATGTATTATGCATATTAAGGGTAGCTAAGACCTGTTTAAAGATAAGATTTTAAATCTCCTGGAGGGCCCTTCAGCCAGGACTCCCAGGGTCCAAGCCCATTTTTCAGAATGGGATGACAACTTAAGTCACTTTTCAGCAGCCTTATCCAAAGTATCGCACTGGAAGAATAGAAGAAGGGGTGCCAATATATTCCCTGCTAAATTAATATACCAGATCACTTGACTGCAGCAGAGAGCATGCCACCCGCTAGATCTATATTTGGAATACCTCTACCTTGCTGAATTTAGATATGCAAAAGGCTGACAGAGTTAACGAGGTCATCACCATATTCTGTATTCTAGCACATGGTTAATTCAACACAGATTTTTCCTAGCTATTGGATATTCATCCTTGCCAGTCAAGTGCAAGCTGCTCAAATAGTAAAAACTGTATCTGTGTTTCTCAGAGTAGGGTAAATTTGACTGTTAAGTAATTGGGTTGAATTCTAGTATATATTTTCAGGAATGGTATTATCCAGACTTGCACTTTTTTTTTTTTTTTACGGTGGTACAGGGCCGGCTGTCTTTTTCTCTCCCTCCCACCCTGCCAAGTTTTACATGCTTAACTTAAGGTGATGGGTCATTTCACTGAAGCCAGCAAAACTGCTAAAACTCTATGCTCAGACTAAGGTTAAGCATGTGTGGGGTTTTTTGGTTTTTAAAGTGGAACAGCTTCTAGTGCATGAAACTAAACATTTAAGTGTCTGCAAAACTGGGGCTCCCATGCTAGTTCCAGCAGATGTGTTATTGCAAAATAGGTATGTTGGCTTTAGAAAAAGCATCTTGCTTTACAATAGAGCAAATAGTTTTTTTCTGGATGACTTCAACTGTTCTATGAAATCCAGTATGGCACACTGTATTTTCATGCCCATTAGAAGGTATTATAAACATTTCCTTTATTTTTCAGAGAAAATACTAATGTTTGTGTTATTAGCTGGCATAGTCACCACTGTATGTGGGAAAACTAACACTATAACCAGTCTTTAAAAAAAAAAAAAAGACAGACATTGCATAACTTGTTGTGTATGTATATGTGTTAAGAATTAACCCTTTTTATAGTTCTGCAGTGTTTAAAGGGCTAGCTGGTAGTCACCTTAGACTGTAAGTTTTTAATATAACTGAACAATGGGAAAGCTGCTTAGATAAGCCAGAATTTTACTTCTGTCTTGGCTTTTAAGCTCCTTTTTTGACCGGTGATCATGTTTCCCAAAGCGGGGAGGGGGATGGTGGGACACACAGGGAGAGATTAAGCCGGTGAAGTCACCCTGCAAAACCCACAACTGAGCTGATCTCAGAACTGGCAAACTCCTTATCCCTGGTTTGTTGATGTAATGTATAAAATTGCTTTTTTGCTTTTAACTGCCTTTACTTTCTGAGCTAGGGGCTGTCTTCATTAACAGCAAAAGTGTTACTTTGTTGTAGATGACAGATAAGCCTCATCACGGGAGAGTTACCTAGTAAGTATAGCCCAGGTGAACACTTCTGTTTCTCTCAGTCTTAATTTATTCCCAAATGTATTAGTTCAAATAAAGATCTAAAAGACTTATGAAGCTTTTTCCCTTTTTAGTTTTAAACTGATGTGTCCCTCTTCTACAGCTATGGCATGGAGGGAGTGGGGTTTAAATATCCTTTTTTTTTTTTTAAATGTAAAGTCTTATTCTGAACCTTCTTTCTGGTATGCATTTCTGGCTATATATACTTGCACACACAATGGTTCTAAAACTGAATCTCAGGCACACTGTTGTTGAGGTCTTATCCACCACATATCCTTGGAGGACATTTTCATTGCTCAAACACTTCTAAATCACTTATCACTTATTTGGCACATTATTAAATGTTTGGACTGTTTTGGGGCATGGTGGGGTTTGGGTTGGTTTTTTTTTTTTCCTTAGTCTTGAGTACCTTTATGCAAGTCTTTAGTGATGTGAAATTAGCATGTTAGTATTGGACCTAAAACCTTACTAACAGTGGTTTCAAATAACAAGAAAGCAAGAATATTGGACAATGAAGACAATAGAGGGTTAAAATTTGCATATGATTCATCCTTCCTATAGTCGTGCACACTAAACAGCTTGTTGAATATGGCATTAATACTGATGAAATAAAGTTTCATATGCATTCATTGCCTTACCTGGCAGTTTGCTAATGCGGGTATCCCTATGTGGTCATCGCCGTGCTCAAATGGAAGGGCTGTTTTTCATTCTTAGATGTGGAGCATCAGTGCTTTCTAAATATTTTATCCTACAACAATGCTTAATAGGTCAATATTTCACAAATTATTTAGACAAAAATAGTGGGAGCTGTATGCCACTAGGAAATTCAACCTATATACAGAATATGACTAATTCTGAACTACTAAAGACAAGTGTATAGAAAAGTTAAAGTAAGAAGGCTCCTAAGCTGCATGCAATTCTCCCAAAGCCCATACATGTGGAAGTCCCCTGACTTCACAGACAGGGTTTGAAACAATAGCAGTAAGTTATTAATGGAGTAAAACCTTTGTTTTGTGCAATTCTGACAGCTTGTTAAGACTTATGACTTTGCTTGTGGGTCTGCTTCTTAAGCAGTTTTAACAGTCTGCCTGCCCCCCCCAAATGTCACTTTGAGTGACAAAGGATTTCTTTTCTATGAATCCTGCTATAAGCCTACTTTTAGCTCTAAGAAGTTTTAAAACCCTGTTCCATCTTGGAAGACCTGAGGTGATCTCAGCCTCCCAGTCTGGCTAGCACACACTAACGCGTATACTAAAAGGACACTGAAAACTAAAGCTTTAATTTACAAAACAAAGTGACATGTTGTAGGAATATAAAAAAATACTGGAATTGTAAATAATTATTTTTTTCCTCAGAGAAAGCTAATCGGAACACAGAATTTTGACAAACCGTGTCCCCAAACCCTTTTCTAGACCCACATCATCTTACGGGCCTTTCATTGTTGTGGTGGTGTTTACTACTACTTTAGGCAAACAGGGATAAAAAGATTTTACAGTTGGGAATCTTTCATGTAGACCTGATAATCTTTGCTTTTGTTCAGAGTAAGAGTCTTGAAATTTTCTGCCCTAGATAGAGTTGCAGCAGCAGCATTAAATGGTCGAAAAACATCTTTTCTGAGGAACACTGCAGCCTTCCATGCTAGAGAACAAAGACAGGTTTCTAACTTCCCCAATCCAGTGAAACCAATTTATTGAGTTTATTGCAGTGTAGGGTCTTGCACAAACAAGGTAGCTTTGAGGCTTTTTTGTTTTGTTTGAAATGTGTTGAGGACAAATTAGCAGGAAAAACTGAATTGGACTTTTCCATTAAATGTTAAAAAATATCTGGGTAATTGGCCTGTCTCCTAATGTCACCAGTTACAGTAGCTTCTATCTGTCCAGCAGAACATAACTTTTCCAAAACTGAAATGGTAACTGATCACCAACATTAAAGGTTTGAAACAGCCACACCCTCACAAATTGTTTGCATTTAGCAAGCTTAAAAAAAAAAAAAAAGACTGAAATTTAAAAGGACAAGTGGCTTTTTATTCTTTCCTTATGCAAAGTAAGACATCTTAAGAGTCTCTTCCTAACTACCCTCTGAAAAAAAACAGATCTCAGTGAAGGGTCCCAAGTCTGGTAGCCAAAAACACTGGGGGGGTGGTGTTGAGAGTTTCCACGCTTTTACAACTATCCTTATTTTATGCTTGACTTGTAAATACATTTTTATGAAATTCCATCAGGTTTGTACAGATAGTCCTTAATGTGAACAGAAGTATTCTTGGCAGTTAAAGAAAGTACTTATTGTAGCCAGTACTAGAAAACACCAATCTGAAATTCTAGATAAGTGTACCCTGTTGTACTTTCACATACTGTTTTTCTAATATTTACAAGCAGTTAATAATCCTCCTGCCTTCATGTTTTCACCCCCCAAATTAATTCAAAACACAGAATATTTTAAAATTATTTTGCCACATATGGCATTTCACTGTATAAACATTGCTATAGCAAATCTCCATATATGTACAAGACAGTAGTTTACCAATTGGGCTGCTCTTGACATACAGATCAGTATCTCACAACTTTTTATAGGTCCGTCTACAAGTTCAAAATGTAGAGAAACCTCTCTACCGTGGGACCTTCCATTGCTTTCAGACCATCATAAAGCAAGAATCTGTAAGTACAAAATTAATGCTTTGCCTATTTTGTATCAGAAGGGTGGGAAAGCTGTAAAAAACCCCTGCAAATATTGAAGATCAAGAGAAAAGCATACTCTGAACATCACCTGACCATAGGGCAGATAGCATAGTCAGAAGTTTGCCAGAAACTTCATGATCACTAAGTTAGAAGTTGATACTTTGAAGTTAACTTTTTAAATAAGATAACGAGTATTTGAATAGCTAATTTTCTGAGAATTCAAGCAATGAGTGAGGAAATTGGTGAGCTTTTTTTTCTGCTGAAGCTTCAAGACCATAACTAAAAGGGTGGCTTTAGGCTTTTAGCTACATAAAAAATAAAGCATAAAATTTAGCAGAAAACTTTTCTCTGGATGGACTAAGATTATTTTCTGGATGTATTCAACTATGTATTTGTATTGCTAAAAATGTTTAGACGTTTGTGTCCTAGGCAGCGATGAAATTATTACTACAAAGCAAGATGATACCAATCTTCTGGCCACTGTTAGAAAGTTAGGGCACAAGGGAGAGCCAGAAAGGCCATGTTCTGCATAGTTTCAGGAGGTTATCAACACCACTGTTTAAAAAGGGTTTTTCCCTCCTTCTTCCATTAGGCTTTTGGACTCTATAAAGGTATTGGGTCACCAATGATGGGACTTACCTTCATTAACGCACTCGTGTTCGGTGTACAAGGAAACACGCTTCGTGCTCTTGGAAAAGACACTCCTCTAAACCAGTTCCTTGCAGGGTCAGCGGCAGGGGCTATCCAGTGCATCATCTGCTGTCCCATGGAGCTGGCAAAGACAAGAATGCAGCTTCAAGGAACAGGCGAATACAAACTAAAAATGAAGAACTACAAAAATTCTCTGGATTGTTTGATCAAAATCTATCGAAAGGAAGGGCTGAGGGGTATCAACAGGGGCATGGTCTCTACATTCATAAGAGAGACCCCAAGCTTTGGCTTTTACTTCCTGACCTATGACTGCATGACCAGGTATTTAGGCTGTGAAGCTGAAGACAGTTACGTTATTCCCAAGCTGCTGTTTTCTGGGGGGATGTCGGGAATCGTGTCCTGGCTCTCAACCTATCCCGTGGATGTGATCAAATCCCGGCTTCAGGCTGATGGAGTCGGAGGCGTTACACAATACAACGGCATTTTAGACTGCGTCAGAAAGAGTTACCACGAAGAAGGCTGGAGGGTGTTCACAAGAGGTCTTACTTCCACGCTTCTCCGTGCTTTTCCTGTCAACGCAGCTACCTTTGCTACTGTCACTGTGTTCCTAATGTATATGAGGTCAGAAGACAACCTTCGTGAATGTGAACCAGGTCCAGTAATCCAGCAGCCTTCCAGTTTGTGAACCTTACCTGTTTGTTCTCCTAATCCAAAGCCCGGCTGGTTGGGTTTGGTTTGGTTTTTTGTTTTTTTTTTTTTAAATGTAAACACTTGACCCGCACAAGTGGTGTAAACATATGCTATCTGTGTAAAGAATTCCTTAATGTGTCAAATTAGGATTTCATCCCATTACTTGTATAAACAGCATATTGCCTTATTAAGGACTTCATATCTAGTAGTATCCAAGTAAGATGGGGACCTGCCTTTAGAAAGTACTGTACAGTTACTGCTGCGGCTCCAGAAGAGGACCTGGAGAATGTCATAGTACCAGAAATCAGGTTTTCTTCCACTCATTTTCTGAAAGACTGAGCCGAGTTGAATGCAGAAGCATCTTCAGAAAAGAAATGCTCTTTTTGTATGTAACAGCAGCAAGTATAGTCCTCTGAGGTGAAGTAGGGGGAGGAAATTAAATGTTGGAAGCATTTTGCAGGTAACCCTGAACTGTTTTAAGACATGGACTAGCATTCAGCTAGCCATGTGTTTTACTTTTCCTCTGCTTTTATACATCTGTGGTTTTAGTAGCAACTTTGTTCATACTGGTTTGCAAAAAAAAAAAAAAAAAAAAGGAAGAAAGATTTGTTCCTAAGCTACTCCCTCACCTTTCAGCTTTGAATAAATATCTTAAGCACAAAGTTACCATCTGCACTCAAACGCACTTGTTCCTTTAAATCTCAAGGCTTGTAAGGATTTGGGGAAACTCAAATTTAGTAAGATTGATGTTATTTGCCTTCAACTCTATTTCTCATTTGGTGGGTGCACAGATTGTATTGACTACATTCAGACCAAACAGACTTTTGTTCTCTGAAATTACTGCAACTTTGCACCACTTCTCCCAATGTGCCCCATAGCAGCCAGTGATGTACAGAAGTCAAAGTCCTACCTGTGGTATTGCACAAAATGTTTGTGGGTGCAATGTTAGCTTAGCAGCTTAAAGTACTGTAGAAATACGTACATGTTTAGAACTGGAGGTTTCATACCTTTCCAGAAAATAGGGGTGTGTCTGAAACGGTTGGTGTTCAATACACTTGCATTATGAATTTAAACAATACTGATTTTTATGTATTTAGTTACAGTGCTACTGAAAAGAAGACTGAAAAGGGTTTTGGAGAATTTTCTTGTTACGCTAATCCACTGTGATTTTTTTTTTTAGCAGTCTGTTCAAGAGGGACTGCATTAGTCAAAGAGCTATAAACAGTTATTTAAGATTTGGAGTAAGAACTACACATATTTGGCACAAATAGCTAGAAGGAAGGAGTGCATGTGTATGAAGAATGTTCTAAAACGTATCAGACTAGTTCACTAAGTACAACTTGTTACACTTTTGGTTGGGACAAGTGCAATATGTGTTTAATTTATATGAATTTTCTAAAGAAACCTTATTTCATAGCATTTTGCACTGTAACAAAATATGCTGGAGAAACCTGTAAAACCGGTATGTCTTTTTATACCTTGGAGGTATGTTGGATGTTTTAGTGCCTACTCGCACTGAGATTCAAATTGAATGTTAAATCTGTCTACTAAGCTGCATATGCACAACAACTCACAGCAAAGACCATTTACACCTTTGTACAGTAGTCTAATTATTGTATATAAAATGGAGGGAATAAATTTTTTAAAAATTTTGACTTTGGTTCTTCAAAGTTTCTTATGTTTTACTTAGATGCTTGTGTTAAACCTACCTTGCAAGAGGGTGGGGTTTCTGGCTTTTGCCTGAAGAAACTTGTTCCCCATCTGCCTTCGATGCACCACCGGGAAGGGCAGTGCCTTGCTCTGGCTTAGAGTGTATCAGCTCATTGAAGCAAAGAAAGGAAGTTGCCTGAGCTTGCTTCTTCAAACTGACTTGAAGATATTATAGCTACTAAGAGAACAATCCCGCTTTTAGAGCCAAAGAGCTGGCAGCATGGCTGGACCCTTCATATTCTGCATTTATTTGGTTTAAGCAGTGCTGATCTGCACCAAGGCTGCACAACTGCAGAAGACAAGTCTAGAGTCCTTGAAGAGTCACATCAGAATCAAGTACCAGGTCTGCCAACAACACTGTTCATACCTGAATCAGAAGAATGCTTGGCTCTAAGATGCACAAGTTTAGCAAAAAGCTTTGTAGGTTGTAGTTTTGTTTTCAGACAGCACAACTAGCCCACAAAGAGCACCAATATTCCAAATACAAAGCCATGCAGGAAAAGCGGGATGATGTGTTATGACCTATGAAAAAGACCTCTCATTGCTGATGAGAGGTTATTTCAGGTACTGGCTCTGCTAATTTGTGTTCTTAAAGGGTAGATACACATGACCTAAAGAGACCCTGTCAAGCATCAGTTTGCTACATCAGAAAAGGGAAAGGCCACTACTCCAACTAACTGTGACCAGGGGCAGCTCCACTCAAGTACCTTGTGTTCTCTCAGCAGGAGCAACGATGTTGAACTATGGCACAGAAACAAATACTTGGAATAAACAAATAGTGTCTCCCTAAAAGACAGGAACATCATTAAAACAGAAAGGGCTACACAATGTTTTACTTGTATTTACTAAAACATTCTCTCCAGAAAGTCATCCATCTGAACTTAAATAATCAGTAGCAGACACTGGAGGTTACTCAACAAGCCTAAGAGGAGGGTAAAAGTCAGCTTTCAACCTAGTCTGATGTCGGTTGCTTGAAATCTGTGTGACTCCTAACTAATAAATCAAGCTAGACAATAGCCTCAGCCTTTTCAAACACGATTCAGTTCCTTCCTGCTGGATTTTTTCAAATGTCAGCCAATTTAGCCAAGTCAAACAGAACTGTACTGTGCCTCCGCAGACTCTCCTTCCCACAAGCATCATGATCCTGGGTAGGAGATGCTCTTAATACTTTCTTATTCCCTTCAGTTGTTGGGGTAAAACTGACTGTCACCTACTACCAAGTGCCCGTGCTCTACTCTTTCTTCTGACCCACCCTGCTAGTGGATGGGTCATACCAGTGTTACAAGTCACAGCCACAAATATGCTCAATTAGGAAAAAAAGCACCCAGGTACAACCCTTCCAGGTTTTAAAGAAGTTATTATAGTAAAACTACTGGGGAGAAATTCAGTTCATGTATCATGTCTGCAACCATAACATGACAGTATTCGAATTTTTTTTCTTTGTTCTCTCTTCCTTGCGTTCCTCTGCATATAGCTTTTTTACAGTTCACATGAAAAAGCAGCAAGACATTCAAGGAATGAAAACCAGTACATGGCAGGTGCAGGACTGGTAGCATACTGGGAAAGTTACTAAGATGCCAGTATAAAAAGTTGACCTTGCAGAGAAGAGATGTGTGTGTTCTTTGAAGTTAAATATATTCACTATTATGCTGGAAAACACATGTTAACACCTGTTGTTAGCCAGACTTTTGATCTGTGAATAGTTAAAGAACAACTTAAAGCCTAGAAGTATGTCAAACACCATTAGATTAGCAGAAGGTGCTATTAAACTCCTCTTCTGCCAGAAAAACAGCCAGAGAAAATAGCAGCTTGCCCAGGGCAACATGCCATATCAAACACCACAGCCATGGAGACAGATGAAGGATCTAAGGGACTCTATGACTCCAGTAGGCACAGCAACAGAGTAGGGAAGCAGAGAACTTGCTGGGCCAAACCTAGTGGAGATAGGCTTTCAAGTCACGAGGAAGAAAACTGCTTCTTTCAATGTTCAGGAATTTATGGGCAGTGGGGGGGGAAAGCAGAGGAAAATAAGCCATTTTCATCCTCCCAATGCAACTGTTTTGCAATTTTTGTAGTAGTGTTGTCCTCACTAATTACAAAAATGGTTATCACTAACAGAAAAAAAAATTAGTGACATAATATGCACAATAATACATATGATATACAGTAAAACCGTGTCTACTTATAGTTTATTATCAGTTTTAACTGATTTGACCTAGAATGTGATTTCAAGCTATACAGTTTCGTCAATAAATAAATTGAAAGCAAGCAAGGCAAGCTCTGCAGTGAAAAATAATACCCTATACGTTGATATATATGGAAGAAAGGCAAGTTCTTAACGTTCACAAAACATTCTTCAGGTCTATAAAACTTTACATCTAACAAAGTTAAATTGCTTCTTGGTATCATTCACTGTTATTACTTATACTTTATTATGACTGCTTTTTCTTACTGAAATAAACCCTCCATGTTTTTTACTAACAGTAAAATAAGAGCTCTACCATTTCAACTATATCCATGTGTCTATCAATAAAATACTAAAATCATAATGAAACTTGACCTCATGGTCTGCACTGTTTGCTAAATATATCAAAATAGGAAGAATTGTTGCTAGAGTAATTTGACTTCACTAGACTAAAGTTAGTCTGAAAGAAAATTAGTATTCTTTTTCTAGGACCTAATCTAGTTGTCTTCAGCAGAGATTTATCCTCAATCAGGTATACTCAAGTGTTGCAACCAACCAGGCCACAGATGTTCTTCCTTGTGCACTGATGTATTTTCACTTAAGGAAGAATCTACAACAGGTAATTTTCAAACAGGCTAGTAAAAAAGTTCAAGCTTTTTAACTACAATTAAAGGAGGTAAATGTAAAAATAACTCTCTTACCCTTAACTTCCCCCAGGCAGATACCTGCTTCCCTCTCAGTTCATAACTGAGAGACTGTACACTTTCATTTTACACTCTGGGAAAAAATTGAGATGAAATCCCCTATCTCTAACCTATGCAAGAGGAAATAATAAGAAAAAAACCAAACACCCACGTAAGAGGAAAATCTGAACACCAGCCACAGTATTATTCCTTACAATCCATTTCCAAACCATGAACATTTGTATGCCCTTTCAAGCTATGGGAATCATTGGATTCATACAAATCCATTGGAGGTTCAGTCAAAGCACCGGTTAAGACTGAAGGATTCTGTATCCAAAGGCCAGATCTTCTGTTTTGCTGAGAGAAAAGAAATGCGTTGAAAAATAAGTCAAAACCTATGCTGCATGATGCCCCACATGTGAGGCAGTCAAA